CACCAACTGCTTTCCAGGTGAGACACCTCCCAGGGGCTCCCAAGGACTAACCCTGTCCTTGGCCAAAACAGGGAGCACAAATGAAAAACCCCATTTGCCATTCTGTGTTTTGTTTGCCCCCACGGTGCCAGGGGCTTAGCTTCATGACCAGCACGGCTTTGTAGGTGAAATAACTAACAGTTGGTTTCTTCCTTCCTCCTCATGCCCAGCTCTTCCTCCAGGACTCATTTCTCCCTATTTTCTTGGGTCAGCCCCGGCCACGTTGGAGCTCCAAGGCAGGAGGGGCGTGGGGTCAGGATCTGGACCTCTCATTGCCTTCACTGCACAACAAAAAAAGCCAAATTCTGTCTCACTCTCAGAGGATGCAATCCTAAAACCCAACCTCTTATTTCACTGCCAGATGGCTTCCAAATTCTGATGCTTTTTGAAAAGGGAAAGCCATTAAAATAAAATCCCCTCCGTGCGACAAGATGTGATTTTCTCTCCCAGCAGCACCGCCCTGTGGCTCGGCTGCAGCTGAGGGAGGTTCTTCCTCTCTTCCTCTGAAGGAGACAGCCAGAGACAGTGCCCTCCAAAGCTCAGACGTTAATTACCGCGTTGGAATACTTCTCTAAATTACACAGCATGGCCCCAGGAGATAACAGGCACTGAGAGGGGGAAGGGAGTGGATGCTGTCTATGTGCTGCACTGCAGCTCAGATGTAGAGAGGCAATGAGATGGAGCAGCCCCCTCCTTGCCCTACACCTGGGCTTGCAGGGAGTGGGGAGATGTGGGACCAGACCAGGAGGGAAGCACTGTTCCCAGCAGTGGAGGCAGGAAACACATTCCCCAGTGTGGGATCCCAATGGGAACCCCCAGTGTTATGTGGACCCCTAGTGGGACCCTTCCCATGACATGGGGACCCCAATGGGATCCTCCCCCCAAATTGTGACTCCTCAGTGAGAAACCTTCAATGCCAAAGGAACCCCCCACCCAAACGGGGACCCTCTCAATGGGATCACCCTCAATGGCATGTGGACTCCCAAGAGAACCCCCCCAAACTGGGGCCTCCAATGAGACCACCCTCCATGTCATGGGGACCACCAAAGGGACTCTCCCCCTCAAACTGGGACCCCCAGCAGGATCATCCTTTTAATGACATGGGGTGGGACCTCAATAGGACCCATCCAACATGGAGACTCTCTCAGTGTGGGACCCCAATAAGACTCCCTCCAGCTTGGGCCCCCTCATGGCATGGGGACCTCCAGTGGGACCCTCCAGCCGTGGGAACATCATCATGGTATGTTTAATTAGCCTGTGATGAGCTGATTTCTGACACGTGCTTAGAATCTGTTCCAGCAGTCCCATCCCATGCACCCATGGGTGCTGGGAGCTCAGTGCTGAGGCAATATGGCAGCTCCTTGGGAAACTAGGGATGGGGAAGATGCCCACCATGAGAGAAAGCTTCAAATATGAGGATCTGATGGCCGGACTTGATGATTCTAATGGACCTTTCCTTAATGATTCTACGATTCTGGAGCTCATCAGCTTTGCACCAGGCTGTGAGAAGACCACTGAGTGTGTCTTGAAGGAGATGAGGAATGATCAGCACGGATGTGCCTCACCTCCTGGATCTATGGAGGTTTATAGATGAGAGAAGAGCATGGTTGTCTACTGCGTTCATTTTAACAAGCATTTGGGCTCTTTCTCCCAATATCCAAGTAGTGGTAGACAACCACATAAGTTAAAAACCTGGTTGGATGGCTGGGCACGGAGGGATGTAGGCGTTGGATGACAATTCAACTCCTCTTGGAGGCCAGTAACAGGGCAACCATTGGGCTCGCTGCAGGACCTGTCTTTAGCATCCCTACTAACAACCTGGAGGAGGGGAGGAGCCCACTCCTGCCAAGTCTGGAAATGACACTGAATTGCAGGGACCACTCCACACACCAGCCAGAGGGAGCTCGGTGGGCTGGAGGAAGGAACAACAGGAACCTTAAGAAGCCAACAAGGCAAACAGCCAAGTGCTGCGCAGGAGAGGAACACGGGGGCAGCAATGGGGTTACAGTAGGGCAGGAGGGAGGCAGAGCCCTGTCGGACCCCACTCCTGGAGGAACCACGCAACATCACTGCCTGCAATCTCTGGAGCTGGTTTTTCCACTTTCTTTCTCGTCTGCCATAGGCAACTCCTGAGATTCCCTGGATGTAAATCCAGCTCTGTCTGCTGCACAGCGTCATGCAAACAAACAAATACATCCCAAGCAGCGCTCGGCACCAACTCTGAGCTGGAGGCAGCTCAGCTGGCAGTGGGCTGGCAGCAAGGTGGCAGCTCCCAGCCCAGAGGCACCTCCTGCGTTGGCACCCAAACAACATCCCATTGAGGATGGCACAGAGATGTGGAAGAATCCAAACCTCCTCCTGACACCGCCCATCCCACACTGATCCCATACAGCACACAGCAGAGCTGGGTGAGGAGCAGCCAGCCTATAATGAGCCTCAGTGGGGCAGAAGTGCTCAGAACCAGTTAACAACAGATGGGATATAGCATTACTTATCATCTCTCTGCCTGCATCAGCCACAGGGCACACGTTAACCACACACATCCCCGCTGATGGTACTTGCTGGTCCCCAGTCCTAGCCCGTTTTCTAAACTTTGCTGACTCAGCAGTGAAGAATAAACGTGGTTGAGCTGCAAGAACCAGAGTCCTTGTCTTTGGAGGGTGTGCAAAGTGACGTGTTGCTGGAGCAGAGTGCCCCACATTGGGCACGGGGCAGAGGCTGTGGAGCAGTGAGATGTCAGCACTGTCATCCTTCAGGGCAATGGGAATTTAAAGAGACTGACTTGGCATTTCTGAATTAAGCTGGGACCACATGGCCACAGGACTGGTAGACCACAGCAGGACATCCCTTTCACTGCAGACACCAAGCTCAGTAGTGGGGACAATGCCCTAAAAGTGCTCAAAGCTTCATTTTCCCAAGCTCCCCACGTTTGGTAGCTGCCATCATTCTCTGGTTCCCATCTGTCAGAGGGGCTCTCTCTAAAAATCCCTTCTTCCCGTAATCCCCAGGTGCCAACCTTGGGGCTGGGAGACCTACTTCCCTTCTCCAGTGCTATGACTCAAATTTCCTCTGTTCTGATGAACACCTGCTCTCATCCCTACTGTCCCCACGCTGCTCCCATCCTGGTGGCACCTCACTTTGCACTGCCTCTGTAATTAGTTGTGATGTTAATAAGTTTTTATCAAGGGAAAGGAAAGGAGCTGGAGAGGAAGCTCTGCAGGGGAAGGGAAGAAACATTCCTGCTGTAGCCATCAGGAACTTTCCCCTTCCTCTTCTCACTCCCTCAATGACCTTTGGCTGAGTCTGCCAAAGCCATAAAGGAAAAGGGAAAAAAATAAAATAAAGAGAGGAACTAAAAAGAAAGAGAAGCAGGGAAGGACAGGCAGAGCAGAGACAGTATCTCATGTTGCCTTGCCCCTGATAATGATTTATCACCAGAGGATGGATGGATAGGGGTCCTTTCCAACTCAACTGATACTATGGCTCTATGAGAACCCAGTGCCGAGCTGCCACACAGTCAAGGTCTCAGCCCTGTGGTCATGAGCCAGTCACTTTGGGGCATGATGGAGAGCTGAATGGCTCTGGCTCACCCACATCAGCTGAGCTACGAGGTCTTCATCTCCAAGAAATGGAACAGCTTGGACAGAGTTGTCCTCTTACGGAACAAAGAGATTAAAGTTTAAGAAACAAGCTTCTGCATGGCATCTTGATATAATTAGTAACAGCTTTTTATGGAGCTGTTTTATAGCAAAAATATCTGTAATATGTGAAACTCGTGTCTTTAGCATGCCACCATGCCCCTGTGTCCCCAAGATGACATGAGCAATGGTGACATCACAGCAAGGGCAGACAGGAGTGTGTCGGGAACAATTCTGGCAGAAACAGGGCTGGGTTGTGTCATGGCTGCAATGGGAAACAGGAGCAACAGGAGCTCTTCCCAATGAAGTGACACACAGTGCTGTGGGCAGAGAATTTGGGGAAGTTCTTCTGTTCCTAGCATCTCTCTCCTACCTCCTCTGCGAGACACATGTGCCTTGTTGTGATGCCCCAACAATTTCTCACTGTTACACTCACTGTCTGTGAACTCTGCCCACAGTACTACAGCAAAGACAAAATGTTTATTATGCGTTTGCATTCAGAGAAAATTTTCCATGTTAAAAGTCATTCCCAGCAATTTTTCCCCCACACTTTCCCTTGCTCAAGATCTAGCAGAGAGTGTATTAGAGTGACAGTGTGGGAGTAATGGCACAGGGGAGCTTGCCCTTCTCTCTTTCCTCTCTCTGTCTACTTCATCCACTCATTGGCATGAATGCCTCCAATCACAGAACAATTGAATGGCTGGGTTGGAAGGATCCTTGAAGATCACAGAAGCACAGAACCATAGAATGGTTGGGTTGGAAGAGTCCTTTAGGATCACAGAAGCACAGTACCATAGAATGGTTGGGTTGAAAGGGACCTTGAAAATCATCCAGTTCCAATTCCTGCAGTGGGCTGGCTGTCTCGCACCAAGGCTCCATCCAACCTGGCCTTGGGCACTTTCAAGAACAGGGCATCCACCTGTCTTTTAGAAGTTTCTATAGCTCCTCTGGTGAGGATTTCGGCAATGGTGAGATGTGCCAACCTAAACACTGGGTTTGCAGTCCCAATTGTGGGGCTTCGCCAAGCCTTTGAAAAAGAAGTCTTGCACAGACCATGTGGTTTTCATGAGCAGAATCACAGTGGACAGAAAAAGCCAAGTGCCCCTGGAGGCATGCTAGAGTGAGAATTGTTCATTTCGGGAAAGCAAATCTCCAAGAATAACAGAGCAAACACAGAATTGTTTTAAGGTTGGAAAAGATCATCTAGTCCAACCCTAAGCCATCCCCACCATGCCCAACCCATCACTACGACACCTACAGATCACGGGCAATTCAGCACTGCAATTCAATTGCTTGGATGAGGACAACTTCTGAAGGCATTACCTCCCTGAGGCAGGTGTAGATGGGGCACACAAGGACTCGGAAGGGCTCCCCGGTGCTGCTCCTCATGGTGCCGAAGACCTCGCAGAGGAAGGTGATGAAGCCCAGCCAGCGCTCCACATCCCGCTGCTGCAGCTCCTCCCGCATGGTGAAATCCTTCTGCAAGAGGGATGGAGACAACGGGCTGCATTAGCAAAACCTCACTGCCGGGAAGAGGCGACAGCTGACGGGATGGAGAACTGGGAGGAAATGGAAACTCGGGGTGGGGGAGGAAGGCAGACAGACTGACTCTTTGGTAACAGTGCGGGGATTGCTCAATGTGAGCACAGTGGTTGGGATTTCAACATGGTGAAGCCATCAGAAAGTAGATCGTATAGAAACAACACCGACATCTGCAATATCACAGCTCATGGTGCTGGTGGCCTCTTCTGCCCTGCCCCTCCCCTTGGATGGACACGGGGCATTTTTTTCCCAGTGCACAACCAACACTGAACAACAGCAAGCAGAAGGACCTCAAACATTAACATATGGGGAATGTGATGGGTGCTGATGGCTGCGTTGAGTATGGTGGTCCACATTAGCAAGCTCAACCCACAGACACCAAGTAGAGTCTCAACTTATCCAACCCATAGACACCAACCAGTCTCCCAGCTTGCTCAACCCACAGACACCTAGCAGTGTCCCAACTTGCCCAACACAAAGACACCAAGCAATGTCCCAACTTGTCCAACCCGTAGACACCAACCAGACCCAATTCTCCCAACCCATCTTAAATCCAGTGTCCCAGCACCCCCTGGGGTCTCACAAAATGATATGTCCAGAAGATGAAGGGAGCACAGCCCCGATAGAGAAAGGTCACCTTGCCCTGGAGCCATTGGATGCCAGGCCTGAGGATTATGAGAGTGCCACGATTTACAGAGCAACATCAGGAGCAAATTAGCTCCTCCAGCTAGGGAGGAAAAAAGGCTTTGCCCAAATGCTGGACCTGAAAAGGGGTAAGTGTGTTGGAGATGTGTGGCAAAGAGCAAGGAGGAACATGGAAAAACAAACAGAACACTTTCTGGAGGGCACCAGCACCACATGGATGGCACAGGAGAGCATGCTGCTCAGAGCCACAGCCTCTGCAAGACATCCTGCGTGGTACCACTTGTCTGTCTCCACAGTGACCCTGCCTTGGTATTAAAAATCAGCTGGCACTTCAGAAGGAAAGACCAAAGAGCAGAACAAGTTCATTCCCAACAGTGCAGTGCATTCTCAGTTTGGCTGCACGACCTCTTAACTCCAGAACTGAATAAAGAAGCTAGTATCATTTCATCTCCTTTTATACTGACAGACTGAGACAGAGGCTCAGCTGCTCGCAGGGCTCCAGCCATGCATGGGAGATCCAAAGAAGGAGCTATTTATACATTTCACTACAAAAGGAAAAAAAAATAATATTTGCATATGCAGGAAAAAACCTTGTAACACCACTGAACCACTGCTTAACCACACAGTGATGACTCATTCCTCTCTACGCCTGTTTCTATTGGGCAATTTCCCAGTGTGTCTGCACTGAAATCAAACACTGCTGGGCTGTTTCGAAGTCTCCAGAGGAGTCTGCAGAGCTCTTCCTTCCGTTGTCCTGGGGTGGAGGAGTTATTGGCCAGCTCAGGTTATCACCCCGGGGTTACCCAATGGCTTGGAGTTCCCGCTTGGCTTTCTAGTGGAACAACAACAACAAAAAAACCAACGAGAAATGGAGAAATGCACTCCTCACATCCCAAGAAAGACAAACCCAGCCTGATTCTGCTCATCCTCACTTCTTCATTGGGAATGTTTCCCCCAGGCCTTACGGGGACTGACCTCCCTCAACTCTATCCATGCTGCATCACTGGAGCGTGTTTATCTGCAATCCATTTTTATGTCAGTCCATCTGTGCCCAGGAAAGCACAAGGATAATTTCAGTGACAAGTCAACTCAGAACAGCTTTATTTAACGTGGCAGCACCCACGTTCCTCATGTCCCAGAGACATTCTGCAGATGAATGATCCCTCACATCTGAGCTGGGGACCATGGAGTGGGATGAGGGCAATCCCCAGGAGCAGATGGAGCATCCTTTTGTCTGAGGTAGGGAACCCTTCAGAACCCTGCTGAACCTCTATGGCACCTCCACCACCCTGCCCCGTGAACTTTATTTGCTCTGGAAATGCCTCTATTAAAAAAAACACCATGGATGGGCCTGCCCCATGCTTGTGTGGTGAGGTCAGTGCAGTGAGCATGCCCTCTCTCATCAGTTTGGCTGTATTTTTAAACACACACAGTATTACTAATTTGGGGGTGCCCCAGCCTGTCGATACGATCCGAGTGCATTTATGGGATGACCTTCCTCCTTGTGAGCTTCTGCCAGCACTGGAAACAGCAAATGCTGTAGGGCTCTCTACTCATGTCACCCAACCAAAGCCCTCTTCCCTCCACGTAGTTGTATCTCACGCAGTGCTGTTGTGTGAATCACAGATATATCCCAACTGAAAGAGACCCATAGGGATCATGGATCCAACCTCTGTCTCCACCCAAACCCAGCATCTGAGAGTGGTGTCCCAATGCTCCCTGAGCACTCATGGCAGTGACTGCTGTCCTGAGGAGCCTGTTCCACACCCATTCCATAGAATCACAGAATCTCTAAGGTTGGAAAAGACCTCCAAGATCCCCAACCCACCCCACCAAACCCACTGATAATGTCCCCACATGCCAGATTCTCACAGCTCTGGAACACTCCACGGATGGGGACTCCCCACCTCCCTGTACAGTCAATGCCTGACCACTCTTTGGAGAAGAAATTGTTCCTAATATCCAACCTTAACCTCCCCTGGCACAACTTGAGGCCATTTTCTAAACTCCCAGTCAATACAGTTCCATGAGATCACCTAAGACCAGAAGGAAGCCCCAGCAATCACAAGGAGAGGAGCAGAACCCCTTCTGTCTTGGTGGGCAGCAGCAGGCAGAGGAGCAGCACTGTATTTCGAGCACCAGATCTCAACTTCAACAGCTGCAGCCCAAAGACATCCCTGGGGACTCGACCACACTTTTTAAAGCCAGGTCCCAAATAGCTGTGCACCACCGACGCACAGTGGCTGTGTGAGAGAGCAAATGGGATAAAAACGAGGGTTTAATTTCAGCTCCACCACCTTCTGATGGAAACAAATCCTCTGCATTTGGGCTTGTTGCTTGGTAAACACCGGGCACTTCCTCTGGCAGCTCCGCTGTTTACTCACTGCCAAGGAGGGAGGAAATACTGAGTCAGAAATACTGCAAAAAAAGAAATGCAGAACGGTGAGGTGCTGGTGATCAGCGTGACATAAAAAGCTGTGCTGGACACTTGATGTTAGCGGAAATGTGCTGCAAAGGTTGGAGCCCTGAAGGGCTCTTTGGGAAGGGGCTGAGATAGTAATAAAGGCAGGAGGAGGGATGGGGCAGATGCAGGGTTGATGCATGCAGGAGGAGGTCAGGAAAAGCCTGACAAAGCCTTGGTGGCACTGGGGATTGATCCAACTTCTTGATGCTCGAGGTCTGTTTCCAGCCTCGCGTGGGCTCCTGTCACCTCCATCACTCTGATTTCCTGGGAACAATGTGCTCACCTTCCTCTGCACAGTGCTTTGGGGTGTGGGACTGAGACATGCAAATCAGAACAATTAGTATTACTCCAACAAAAGAGCTATTGACATTTAAAGCAGATAAACCTTGTAAATTGCAGATGACACCCTGTGCCCAGCCTTGCAGGTCTGGCCTTCACCCAGCTATGAGGCATTGCTCTCCCACAGGTTTCATCACTGTTTCCTTGAGCTGGATCTGCACCAGGAGAGCACACATCTGCCTCTTCCCAGTTGCTTTGGTCACGTCACTTTGGCAAGAGCAGAAGATACAACTGGTGGCCTTCCACGTGGAGCTGGTTCCATCATCCCCACTCCGTGCATCTGTCTGGTCCTACTCCTGGGACCACCCGCCCAACCTGGGGACCTCATGATTGATTGCAGTGATGCTCCCGAGGTTCCCAGTTAATTATTGATTGGACAAGTTTTAAAGCACTCGAGGAGGAGCGGAGTAATGGATCAGCAAACAGCAAAGTGTTCCTGTTGATCTGGTTGCTGTGACAGATCTTGGAGCACTTTCTCAGTGATGCTCTGAGCTGGCTATGAGGGCAGAGCAGCCCAGTCTGGCCACAAAGAACAGCAAACACCATTTAGTGGTTGTCCTGGTATAAAAATCTTTGTTAATGAGCCTCTGAGTGCACATGCTGGAAAACACAGTGCCCTGAGGGTCAGCAAATTCTACAGCTGAGGTGTAGAAAATCTCATTTCTACCAGAACACATCAGCATCTCCACAGAGTTCCAAACCTCATACCTTATTAATGGAGGAGTACTTTTGAAGCTTCTTTTCAAGTGGGGTAAAGCTCAGAGCACAGCTGCTCTGGAAATGTATGAAAGAAAGAGAAGGAGGCACTTTAGGCACCCTGATTGCTTCATCAGATGTCCTCCACTGGCACCCAGGCTATGTTGGCCAACATGTCCTCCTCCAGAAGCCAACATGTCATCCACTGGCACCCAGGTGATGTTGGCCTACGTCTTCCTCCTCTGGTACCCAGGTGACGTTGGCCAACCCATCTTCCTCCAGTTGCTCTCCTTGTTACTTAATTTTTAGTGTCACTCTACCTAGGCACCTCTCTGGGCTAATGCCGAATTCAGACTTGTTTATCACTGCTGCATAAAGACCCTGTGTTTCCCATGAACCTGGACCTGACTGTGATAGCTGATCTTAATCACAAGCCCCCAAAGCCTTGCCAGTCTGAGAACAAAGATATCCAAGGTCTCTGAACTGCTCTGTTTATCCCAAGAAACTCTTCACGCAGCAGGCTGATCTGTGTCAGCACTGCAGGACAAACAACAGCAATTTTTTTTGGCCTTCAAATATAAAAAAGACTGCAGAAAGACCTGGGAGTCCACAGGCAGACATCCAGGTTCATAGAAAGACAGGTTTTCCCTTCGTCTGCTCAGAGCATGACCAAGGAGGGAAGAGGAGGAGATGGGGTTAACAGCTCTCATCCAGACATATTCGTGGCACCCAGAGTTCGTGTCACATTTCATGCCGGGACCCTTTTCTAAATTCTTTTGGTCATGGGAGAAAA